CTTTTGGTATTACATACAAACATACTGATTAGGGGCAGGAATGGGCCTTTTGGCTTCTCAAGTGTACTCTGCCATCGAGTAAGATCATGGCTGATCTGATTACTCAACATTAGTGGCTTGTAATCTGATGCTGAATGTTGAAACATCTTGAGTGAGATCACTGAGCTGGACACTGCTTGGTAAAATATTAATGAGAGCACTGATCCAGACTTTCAGCTCCATTAAGTACATTACTACATCTCCCTTGTGAGCTATGTAGAAAAAGTCTTGTTTGTTTTCATTAATTCTAGATGTTCCAAATATGGCAGCTTATCGAATTAAAACTTTTCGAAGCGCTTATGAAATTGTATAGTACTGAATGGTACCATTTGGTCTGTTATGCCTGTACAATTATAGAGACGTAGAGATATGCAGCATGGAAACAGATCCTTTGGTCCAACTCGTCCATGCAGACCAGATATCCTAAATTAATCTAGTCCCTTTTGCCAGCATTTGGCACATATCCATCTAAATCTTTCCTATTCATATTCCATCCAGATGCCTTTTAAATGTTGCAATTGTACCAGCCTCCACCACCTCCTCTGGCAGCTCATTCCATGAACACACCACCCCCTGCGTGAAAAAGTTGCCCCTTAGGTCCCTTTTAAATCTTTTCCTTCTCACCTTAAACCTATGCCCTCTAGTTTTGGACTTCCCTACCCTAGGGAAAAGATCTTGACTATTAACCCTATCCATGCCCCTCATGATTTTATAAACCTCTATAAGGTCACCCCTCAGCCTCTGACACTCCAGGGAAAATGGCCCCAGCCTATTCAGCCTCTCCCCATAGGTCAAACCCTCCAACCCTGGCAACACCCTTGCAAATCTATTCTGAGCCCTTTCATGTTTAGCAACGTCTTCTCACCCAATCAGTTCCAGTTCTCTGCCCTTTTCAAACAGTACTGTAAGTAATTTCCTTTCCACAACACAGTAGCAATGTTAACTAGACTTGTAATCCAAATACCAGGCTGAGGATCTGGATGCAGGTGTTCAAATCCTGCAGCAAGTGGCTGGCAGAATATCAATGCAGTTAATGAATAAATTTGGAAAAGAAATGCTATTCTGATCAACAATGACCTTGAAACTACTCGGTTGTCATCTAACATACACATCTGGTTCAACAATGGTCCTGGTCGAGAAAATTTGTCATCCTCACCTGGCCTGGCTTATTCCTGACTCCAGATGCAAGTCCCGTGGGTGTGTTTCAACTCCCCTCTGAAATGGCCCAGCAAAGCACTCAGTTGTAACCAATGTTACAGAAAAGAAGCGCAATGGGGTTTGTCACATCACATTGACTGCAGCAGTTTAAAAACACGGCTCACCACCATCTTTTCCACAGCAGCCAGGAGCTGGCACTGAATGATGGCCTCGCAAACAATACTCACATCCCAAGAATAAATAAGAGTAAAATATTTATCTAATGCCTTTTTGAAAGTTGAATCCATGATTCGTCCAGATCGTACAGAATTTTGTTTTAGCAGAAATACTGGTTCTCCCCTATGTTTCTTTTTGGAATTACTTAAATCGGTGCCCTCTGGCTACTCGCTCTTCTGCTAGTGAAAATAGCTTTTCCTTATTTACTCTGTGTGAACCCCTCAAAATTTTATAACAGCCGTAATAAGTCTTCCCTTTACCAAGTCTGCTAAAAGGAGAGTGACCTTTGTTTCTCACTTCACAATTTCGAGTGCAGTGACTACTCTTGTTATGCGGCCAAGTGTAGCAACCATTCTATACCCGCACCCCTACCAGGCATGTGATCAATCTTGTTTCCATCGATTAATCCTTCTGTCCACATTTTGGCTTTTTCACAGGCTTTGGATTTTCTTTCTTAAATGTTTAGGCGGAAAATCAACAAACTGGGAAGGTGGCATCCGGGTGCCCGGACTCCTCCGATGGCCCGGAGTGTTAACAGCGGGCAGGAGCATTGATGAGCCTACCAGCAACATGGATCTCTTCCCGACGATTGTCAAACTCTCAGAAGCCACGATGCCAAGAGACCGGTAAGCAGAAGAGGAAGGACAGTGTGAACCTTACGCACACACGCAAAGATAGAAGTAGCTGGAAAAGCTCAGCAGGTCTTCCAACATCTGTGGAGAGAAATCAGAGTTCATGTTTCGGGTCCAGTGACCCTTCTTCCAAGCTTTTCCAGCTATTTCTGTTTTTTGTTTTTGATTTGCAGTTCTTTCAGTTTTTTATTTAGTGTAAACCTTGCATTGGCTCATTCAGAAGTGGTGTTACCTCTGTCTTGGGAAATTGTGCTTTCCAACCCTTTGTCTGTCCAGCTCACTGACTGTTTCAATAAACTTCTCCAAGGCGTCTGCATGCGAAGTGAATATTTTCCTATTGGTGTAAAGTCACAGACAACCATCACTTTCGGTCAATTATTGACTCTATTGTTGGAAATGAGTGTTGAATTAGTGCAGCTTTGACAGTACGGCCACAATGAGTTAAATAGCCTCTTCTGTACCGTATAATTCTATGATCACATATACTCTCTCCTTTTCTCTTGCACCCAACTGCCCCTCAGTCACCCTCCCATAAGAGCAGACAGCTTGAGTGATTGAAATGTTAAACCTGCCTTTACCCTGCTCTCCCCCACCAGGATAATCGATGGCCAGGACCTGATGCCTCTGTTACTAGGTGAAGTACAGCAGTCGGGACATGAGTTTCTCTTCCACTACTGTAATAGTTACTTAAGTGCAGTTCGCTGGCATCCAAGGCACAGTAAGTCCATTACTTCCTGGTATTTTACTGTAGTTAACAGAAGTGTCAAAGCTGGCATGTTAAGGTATTAAATTATAACGCAGTTTGGTGGTTACAGTAGTTCACTCATATATATATGCAGGTTGTCTGGGCTGTTTGTGGTTTGCTGCCTCAGCTCTGTGCACCAGTAGTTCTCATTGAAACACTGGTTTGAATGGTTAAACACAATGTTAGAGGCCATTCAAAGAAGAGTCGTACTTGCTGGTCGATTTAAACTCCAGCTCATCAAGTGCATTTTATTTAATCCTTCATTATAATGAAGTGAGAAGATGAACATTACCTGTACATAGATGTACAAATATATTCACTTAAAATTGGTCAACTAGTACTCATTAGTTTAACCTGATAGGAGGGTAGAATTTAAAACAAAACTTTTTAGTTTACTACCTTTTCAAAAATAATGAGGCTGCCCCCACTATTCTTCATGCACTGAACCACAAGTAAAAGGACAAGTTTTTTTGCATTTAAATGTAGCTTTATGTAGGAGGTTAATGAGCTCAGTTGGCTAAGATGGCTAGTTTGCAATACAGAGTTGCACCAACAAGGTAGATTTAATTCCCGCACCAGCTGAGATGACCATGAAGGACTCTCCTCAACCTCTCCCCTTGTTTTGGATATAGTGACTCTCACCTCAAGGCACCATCAGTTGATGCTGTCTGATGAGAGAGAGGACCTAAGGTCCAGAAGGTATATGATGACTATACCTGATGATTGCATAGGGGATATGATACAGAAGCAGGCCATTCAGCCCAATCCGTCCATGTTGGTTATTGTGCACCACTCACACCTTGTCCCATCTTTCCTCAATCAAACACCATTTATCTTTTCTCCCTTATCCCTCCAATCCTCGGCTAGATTCCCCTTCAAAGCATTTATACTATATGCTACAACCTCTCCCTTTGGCAGCGAGTTCCACATTGTCACCACCTTCTGGTTGAAAAAGTTTCATCTGAATTCCCTGTTGGATTTCTTGATGACTATCTGGCATTGATAGCAGCTGGTTATGATTTCTCATTAAAAGTAAATACTCTCTATATCTACTCTACCAAAGCATTTGACTTCTAACAGACCAATTCTGAACCTTTTTTCAAAAGAAAATGGATCCAGTCTGGCAATCCTCTCCTGATCTGTGTTGTCCTTATAAATCAACTCTGCACCCTCTCTAGTGCTTCTGTAGCCATTTTCATAACGTGGAGAGTAGAACTGCACACAACATACTAAGAGTGTCATATTTCCATTTGAGAATGTAGACAGTGCCCTGTACAATATCACCTCACAAGACACTATGAGACAGCACAGTTAAACCCTCAGTATTTCACTGGACTGTCAGCCTAGATTATCTGCTCAGGTCTCTGAAGCGGAGCTTGAGGCCATGACCTTCTGAGATGAGAGTATGACCAAGTCAGCTACAACTGACAGAAAATATGGCTGAAGAAAAGCAGTAATAAGTCATGATTGAAGAGGTAAGGAGGGTATGAATCAAAAATGAAGGAAGTGGCTCGGAAAATCGATGACAGTGGTGGCATTTTGTTAAAGATCGCAACCCCTGAATTACTGGGCAATGTGCCAAGAAATATGACATTCTGAATGACAGCATTGTCTTCGGTCCTATGTCACACCTTAGGGAATTGAGCACTTCACTCATTCTGATCGCATTGATGTGTTGCAGCACCTGCCTGCCTATCTAACCTGCATCTTCAGATAATATGTCATCTTAATATGCAAAAGTAGTTTTGCTGGGGGTGATATTCCATGCATTCATATGTGACTGACAGAGTCACAAAACAGCCGTTCTGGGATGGTTGGGTGGCTAGAACAGCATGCTCTCAAATAAGTTTTAAAATGAATACTGCAATAACTGGTCAAAATAACTTGCTGGATAGATAGGTTTTAAATTTCCATGCTCTTCCCATCGCAATAACCAAATTAGATATTTATTTAAAATCTGAAATTCTCATAAAGGGCACATATATAAATTTTCAAGTTACAGTTACACTCTCCTTGCTGTCCCACTATAGAGAACGACGACAGTAGGACTGGCTTGCCTAATCTCCATTCTGAGTGTGAACGTAGTGTTTATTATGGAAACATATTAAAATAGGGACTGAATTCCATCTGAGTCCCACCTCTTTCACCTGTACATTATATTTGGTCTTGAGACCCAGTTTCCCATGTTAGAGGTAGCAGCTATAATGTAGTAAAGATCCATATCCAAGCAGAATTCCTACAAAGTAATTCTGTCCTCATGACAAACAGCTGCCAGTGTTTGTGGGACCATATCAAGTCAAATGGCAGCAGAAAAGTAGACAGACACGGGGAAATGGAGTTTCCAAAGCAGCAGAGCTTCCTTTTGCTGCTTGGTTTGTACTGTAGCTTATTCTCATATCCAAGAGATTGAGTCAGTTTTTTTTCCTATGAGCAGATTTCATACTGCACCATATGCTGAAAGACGAGTGGATCTCCTCTTTTTACATATTCATTTTTGGGATGAGAACAACGAACAATACAGCACAGGAACAAGCATTTCGGCCCACCAAGATTGCACCAACACTTGATGTCTTCCTTAATTATAAACCTTTTGCCTCTACACAGTCCGTGTCCCTCTATTCCCTGCCTGTTTGTATATCTGTCAAGATGCCTCTTAAACATTGCTTTGTATCTGCCTTCACCACCTTCTCTGGCAGCACAATCCAGGCACTTATCACTCTCAAACGTCACTAGCAAAGACAGCCCTTGAGGGGGTTTGGATGTCTTTTGAAGCTTGGTTTGTCATGATTTGCAACCAGGAATAAGGCCAAAAAAGTGCCAGCCTGATTGGTAGTACTAGAGGGTGCCTTGTCCTCATTGAATTGTACCCCAGCAACAGTCCCCAACTTCAGGCGTGAGAAAAGGTGTCAGGAGGGGTGGGTGAGAGAGAACAAAAACACCTAATAAGGTGAAAAGAATTGTTTGATCATATGCATTTGAATCATTTGTTTGAGTATATTGAATATCAAGTATTTAATTATGCTGGGCACAGTGTTTTCATGTTGAATGGTCTGTAATAGCGCATTGTGACAAATGATGTGTATTTACTGGTGTCTTCTGGGAGAGTCTGACCTAACTTGGTGGGTGGTCACAATACCCATGTGAATTGGCACACTTGCCCGCAATAATGGTTTATTTAATAATGTTGATATCTCATGTGCTGTTTATCCTCCTAAATTTACCACAGGTTCCTCTATATGGAAAGCTCACTTCTTCACACCAAACTTCTATCCAGAGGGGACTCAGGGTTGCTTCGACACACATGTTTGCTTGTGCTACGGAGACTTCATCAGTCATCACGACCCCCCTTTGCTCTACGACCTCTTGAGGGACCCATCAGAATCATTGCCATTGACACCTAGCTCAGAATCCCAATATCACCAGATACTGGAAGTGATGCAGAAGGCTGTAAGCAAGCACCAGGAGACACTGACCCCGGTGCCCGATCAGTTATCACTAAATAATGTGATTTGGAAGCCTTGGCTCCAACCATGCTGCAGCACCATATGGAAGCACTGTAATTGTGATAAAGAAAGGAACAGAAGCACAGCTTTGGATTGAACAATGGATTAGATACAACTCCCTCATCTGAGGCCTGAGGAAAGAAGTGCATTTGGGATAGCTGTATTTTTCTTTCCTTCTCTCATTGTTTGTTATGTACACTCTTTCCTCCCCTCTTTTCTTTATTTTTGCTTTCTTTCTCTCTTTCTGTCTCTCGTGCTCTTTCTCCCACTCTCTTTCTCTCACTGTCTCTCTCTCACTCACTCTGTCTCCTCTAACATGGACACACTCTCTCTGTCCTTCTTTACAAACATTCTATCTCTCTCATTCCCCTGTCATGACATTTGTTTGGAGTGATATACTGGCAGTGACCTGTTGCTGTTGAAATGAGAATGATACACCCATGCTTCACTGAGTGCTGTACCAAATTCAGGTTAATGCAGGGTTGGAGAAAATTTTCTGTAAATCTAACAGTCCCCCAAATCCAATTTGGAAGTATTTGACATGTTTGAAGATGACAGAATGCTGTTCTCAATCTAGTTCTTGTTTTTAAATCCCTCCATGAGTTTGGCCACTTAGCAGCTACTGTTCTCCAGTTCTACGTAGCTTCAAAGTCCACCCCTGACATTCTCCCAGGTAAGATGACTTGAGCCTTCAACTGCCTGACTCCTCTCCAAGAATTCCGTCAGTACAGTCTTTCTATCTCTGTTCTCTGCTTCTAAATGCTTCCTCAACAGCGAATTATTTAACTGAACACTTAGTCTCTCCTCCTAATGTCTCCTTTCCTCGCTCAGTAACTGTTTTCAATATGTCACCTGTAAAGCACCTTGGGACTTTATGACAGATTTAAGTCCATTAATTGTGGCTATTGACATTCTTTTATTAATGAACACAAAATCTGCAATACTGTAAATAGGAAAAAGTCTGATTCCAGTTTCAACACGTGCTGCCGAGCAGGGTTGTGATAATTATTGATAACATCTATCCAGTCTATATTGAGATGTGTTGACCTTAGTTCAGGCATTGATATACATATATACATAATATATATCACCTATATTAATCATTCCTTTACTATGCAAAAAAATGAAAAGGGAGAGAAGCCCATTCGTATCCTGATGGTTTTGTTCTGATCTCAGGGAGGAGTTGGGCTTTCACAAGCACTCGCCTAATCAACAAGAGAAAATCTTGATCTTCTACTGACTTCAGCATTTAGAGAAGACCAACAGACATCAACGTCAGGATGTGCTATAATAGCAGCAAGCTGTATCTCATGGCCTGAGAGGGGTATTACACAGAGAAGCATCTCAGCAATCTCTATGACTATATAACTGACTAATACCTCATGCACTGCATGGTGTTGCAACATGTCTCCTAGCAGCAAAACCACAGGAGGTCTGCCACTGAACAGATTTTGCATATGTCCAGTGTCCTATAGGAAAAATTGGGATTTCAGAATTGGTTGTACAAAGTGAAATTAAGACTTGCATTTATATAGGCGCATTTCATGACCTCAGGTTGTCTCAAAGTGCTTCGCAGCCATGGAGATCCTGCTGAAGTGCAGGCACCGTTGTAATGTAGGAAATCAACGGAGTTGCATTAAAGATAGGGTTACAAGCAAAAACAATCATGGCCACTTAGGATCATTTGAACCGGTTTTATTTTTAAGGAAGTTATTGAGACATTTCAGAGAAGCAAGCAGTCGCTCAGTCCTTCCTAACTCTCTAAACATGACTCGGTTGTTAAGATTTGTTTTATATATACAATGTCCTCAGATATAAAGTGTGATTGCTAATGTTGGAATAGATATTTTACAAAAGGGATTTTCAAATAAAAAGACACAGATACGTATGGACCTTGTGAGTTTTCAGTCAGAGGAGATTAATGATTGAGGGGCCTCACGGTGCTGTATATGATTCTACAGTTTTCATTCAAAGCCTCACTGTGACAGCTGTACACGTTATAGAAGATAGGAAGTGCGTAAAGAGCTGGAATTTCCTGGATGATTAAAGAACATTCGTAGGACTTTAGCTGGGGAATGAGTACCGTGCAGTGAGTTGGTGATGGGGGATGTCGGATGGTAGATAATGTGATCAGGAAACCCTTGACAGGTTCTCCATTGTCCTTGCAAAATTTAACTGCAGAGTTGCTTTAAGTAGACTTGCCACCCACAGGAATCTTAATTGACAGACATAACGGTAGGGAGGCTCTCGAAATCAATCCACCACTCATAAGTAACCTGCTTTGAAATGGCTAGAAGTGACTTCAGAACCATTGCATGCTTATACCGAGAGACAGGAGTTGGTTTTAAGATTTTGAAAATAATTGCATTCATTTATGATTGCTGGAAGCTACACCTGTTCATAAGCAGGAAAGTGAACATGCCCAGCCTTTCTCAATCTAACAAAAGCTCAGGGAACAACTATACCTTGGTTCATTGCCCATGGCAACACCTCAACCAATCAGAGTCAACTTGCCTTTTCTAAATTTAAACAAAGGCTTGATGGATAACTGAGATAACAAGCTGTAGAGCTGGATGAACACAGCAGGCCAAGCAGCATCAGAGGAGCAGGAAAGCTGACATTTCGGGTCTGGACCCTTCTGAAGAAAACGTCAGCTTTTCTGCTCCTCTGATGCTGCTTGGCCTGCTGTGTTCATCCAGCGCTACA